AATTCCATCGCATAAGAGATGAACAGTATTTTATTGGCCAAAGATATCCTCTCACTAATCGTTAATTGAGCCTAAATTTCATATTTTATGCATAAACTCTCTTTGAATAAGTGTTGTATTTATAGACCCAGAATTCATTATATATTGTGTGATATTTTATCAAAAAATATTTTATTCAATGGCAATGAATGCCATCAAAATTATAAGCGAAATAAATCCGTTGCATAAGAGCAGCGCTCAGCCAAATGTCATGTAATGGATATATGCTATCAATTGTTATAAACACGAGTTTAACACACGAATTGACAAATCAATTACTAATTTGAATCAATGTATTAAAAACAGACAAATCGATGGAATCGCTCCGACATTCGAGAAGAAGCCGGCCATCAAACAAGAAGATGACGGACGGGTCCTCTATTTCGAGTGCATTATCATCGCTGAACCCAAACCGGAGGTCTCCTGGACTCACAACGGGTCACTTATCATACAAAAGGGACGATTCAAGGTAAGCAACATTGTTTTTATTACCATCATAATTTTAATTAAATACCTTCATTTAAAATTGTACAGTAATTGAGTTAATTGATTGATTAAATAGTAGTTAAACTCCAATCACAACATAAGTTTGACTTTTTTGTGAACTCTAAACCTTTAATTTTTCGCTATTTTTCATATTTATAGATCAAAATTATTTTAATCTAATCTTTCATATAATTGTTTGATTTTGCGTTAAAAGTCATATTAAATCTATTTTTAATACAAAAACATAAGAATAATGAAAAGCATTCATTGGATATGTTTCGCAAAAAATCTCACAAATGTTTGAGAGAAGGGTTAGTAAAATGAAAGCCTTGAGACTGACTGACAGACACTGAACTGTTAACTGAATGAACAAAAATAAGTTTCGATTCAAATCTAAATCACTTTATAATAAGTGTTTTCCAAACCAAGTATTATAGCCTATAAGTGATCGACATTTTTCAAATGCCTAACAAATACACGAACTTTGGTTTTTGCAATAATTAGTGAACAATTTATTTCACTAAAAAATATCACTCAATTGACAGCTTTTGCTTCATTAAAACCGTTTATTTTCTAACCATAGCTTCTGTTCAACAGTTTTTTACAATTTGTCAGCTTTTTATTAATTATTTAATATATTTAATAATTCCTTACTACTATATTATTGTAGTATTAAATATCCATATTTAACATTATTATATTATATAAAAAGTACTTTATGTTTTATTGTAAGTAAAATTAGATAAAACTAGGATGAATATCTAGTATGTACAATTGTACAATTGTATGTACATCTTGTAGTAATGCTGCATTATGCATTTTAACCAAAATTCTATGAAAGAAAGAAATTAATACTGTATATGGTTAATCGTGTATCAAAAGTTTAATTTCGTTGTTTAAATTTACATTATTTATTTTAGTCTTTGTTATTCTGTATAAAAATCATAGGAGATATTCTGTGTTGAATAAGCATACATAACGATACCCTATGGACTGTATTAACCACAAAAAACCCAACTTTTCTCCCCTCCAACATAAAGATCTCAATAGTATTTATTTTCCCACTGATTGCCAACACTTTATTCAATTTAAACAATAAATAATTAAACTAATTATATGCTTAAAATTTATAACATGTTTGTTTTAAAATGTTTAAATATAACCATGTTAAAATATGTTGACTGCAGTATTACGATGTTATCTCACAATAGCTGTTACGTTGGGAAATGTGTTGTGATTTAATTTAAGTAATAATACGTCAAATAAAACAAAACCTTAAAATAGTATTGAAAACGAAAATGAATGAAATGCTTGAAATATTTTGACTTTTAATAGACAACTACTGTATTGTCTTAATCGGTATTATTATCACATCATTAGAAACTACACAAACACTAACCCCACAGACTGTTCAACACGTGAAAAAATGAATGAAATGCTTGAAATATTTTGACTTTTAATAGACAACTACTGTATTGTCTTAATCGGTATTATTATCACATCATTAGAAACTACAGAAACACTAACCCCACAGACTGTTCAACACATGATCTATGTTTGGCATTACATTTACACAATTGACAGAATATTCTGTATAGAATTACTATAAAACAACATGATCACTTACACAATATCGCGAATAATAATTTATTTATTAGGTTTAAAAACCAACAAAACATTAAATACAATCTCCAGTCGACACACATATCTATTTAGTTATTTTGGCTGAGCGTCAAAATCTGGGAAAGAGATGTAATTTCACAGAATCTCGACTCCAATTACGATCTGAAACCGATTTGACACAAAAGTATTCAATAATTATTTATATATTTATATGCATTCGTCACTTATTTTTTGCATTCAAATTAAAAATATCTCACAAATCAATCAAAATTAGTGTTTTTAAAAAACATCAATATTTTCTTTAATCTTTTCTTTAATTCTTTTGCCATTCTTTTGGTTTACTTCTTATTTTTTTTGTACTTTTTTGTAACTCAACGACAAAAACATGTCTTAAATTAGAATTTAAGCCAAATTTTTTGTAATTAATAAAAAGTGACAAAAAATTGATTTCTTTCGCAAATTAAAGGCCACACTCGAGAAGAAGGGAAAGGGATATCACTCTATAATGCAAATCAATGACGTGAATGTGGAGGACGCCGGCAAATACAAGGTGATCGCCAAGAACGAGCTTGGTGAAAGTAACGCATCCATTACCCTTAATTTTGACGGTTAGTAAACAAATAGAGATAATTGATTAGCAAATTGTTTTGGTTGTTGCCATAAATGTGTGTATTTGTGACACTTGTGCCGCAATAATACAGACGATGAGGCGCCGGTACCCGAAGACGGCGCCAAACCTACGTTTACCGAAAAACCTGTGATAAAACAATCGGACGACTGCTCAAAGATCACGTTTGAGTGTCGATTAGTGGCGGATCCCAACCCTACCATCCAATGGCTCCACAACGGGAAAGGCGTTAAAGAGGATTCCAGGCATAAGTATTCTCTACAGTCCGACAAACACAACCAATTGGCCTCTCTGTCCATCACTGATGTCTGCGGCGAAGACAGCGGTGAGTATAAGATAGTGGCGACCAATAAACACGGCGACGGATACGCCACTATCAATCTGAACTTCGATGAGGACAAACCGGACGTTCCCGACGGCAAAGCGCCCCGATTTCCCAAAAAGCCCACAATTAAACAAAAGGGAACTACACTTATATTAGAGTGTCTTTTAGAGGCGAATCCTTTTCCAGAGATCACTTGGTTTCACGGAACCAAAGCCCTGTCCGATGGCGTACGCCATAAGACCAAGAAAGCAGACATTGGCAAAGATCAGTACACACTGTCACTCGAGATCTCGGACCCGACCACTGATGACGGCGGCAATTATCGATGTAATGCTGTCAACGAATTGGGCGAATCCAACGCTAACATTGCGCTCAACTTTCAAAGTATTGTTTCTATACTTTTTAATGAATCATTTAATGGCAATACTGTATTACCTTTAAGTTTCTAAACAATCAATAGGGGCTATATTTCTCGCTTTAATAGCACTTTACATATGAATTACAATAATATAAACATTGAAATAAACAATTTCTAATAACGAAGTGATTTATAATTAGTAATTTAGAAGTAGAATTTCTTTACATAGCTTTTAGTGATTTAAGTAAACAATTACTTATGAATGAACATAAATTATACAAACAATTGACACAATATAGGCGGTGATGACGAGGACTTATCGCCAGTATTTGTTCAAAAGCCGCGAATCATTCCAAGAGAAGGAAGCGTTACAATGGAATGTAGGGTCAAATCAACGACTAAATTGACAACCGTTTGGTATAAGGGCTCTACTCTTGTCAAAGAGTCCACAAGAATTAAAAGCTCTTTAATTACTGAATCCAAAGAGGAATATACCGTTAAATTGGATATAAAAGTAAAATTCAATAATAAAATGCAGTTAAATTGAAATTTAATGATACTTTTTGTTTGCCATCAGAACCCGTCCGGAGACGACGGCGGAGACTATAAATGTGTGATAAAGAATGAAAGCGGAGAACTAATTGCAAATCTAAAGCTAAACATTGAGGGCACCGATAAATTAGGAGATCCGCCCACTTTCGTGTCGAAACCAACGATTATATCCGAAAACAATGGAAAACTAATAATATTTGAGTGCAAAGTGAAGGCAAAGCCGAAACCGGAAATCTTTTGGTACTACGAGACGACTCGAGTCCGCGAATCGACGCGAATTAAGCAGACAATGACTGAACAACAGGACGTGTATGTGATTCGTATGGAAATACACGACCCGGAGCTGAAAGATTCCGGTGTTTACAGATGTAATGTGAAGAACGCCGCCGGAGAGAGTAATGCAAACCTAACACTCAATATTGAATGTAAGCCAAGAGTTTAATTTTAAACATCACTTATATATCAAACAAAATATTAAAACCAAAATATTGTTTGAATTGATATATCAGTCGCTCCTGTGATCAAAGAAAAGCCACGAATTATACGCAAAGAAAGACAACAAAAAATAGTAATTGAATGCAATGTTGAATCCGGAGGTAAACCTAATTTCGTTTGGCAAAGAGAGACAACTCTTGTCAAAGAGGACTCAAGACATCAGATTATTGTGAGGGAAGAGAATAAAGGAGAGTATGTTATCGCACTTGAAATCGATAGACCCGGTGCTAACGACAAAGGCATGTATACACTGATTGCCAAGAACTCTAAGGGAGAAGTGGTCTCACAGGCCATCAATGTTACCATTGATGACGAAGAAGAGGAGGAGGAACTCACGTCTAAAAAGAAGGGCTCGAAGCCTAAAATTATTCAAAAACTTCGCTCAGAAGTAAGCACTCAGTTATTCATTCATTTTTGTTTCATCTCTTGTGCTCTACTCTTAACTATTCCAACAAAACATAAGTTATTTTTACATTAGTTTCAAGAATTTCCAGAATTTTTATTTTTGAAACTTTTTATTAAATGAAATATTTTTGAGAAAAAATTAATACATTTTCTTAATACATAATTTCTATACAAATCGGTTGAGATGTTCTTCATATCTAATAAGTTATTGAAATGTTAATTAATATATCAGTTTTGGTGTCTAATTATAACCACAGTTATAAAAACCCTATTATTTCAGTTTTGTGTGGATTTACATTATATGAAACATTTATTTGAGATGTTTTTTCATTAAAAACTCGCGAACCTATCTATAAATAGTTTAGTGATCTATAAATGTGTTAAATTCGCCATTTCTTGGGATTATATCTCTACAGAATTTAGTAGTTTTTGTGTTTAAATTCAGTGTTTTATTCAAAATTACTTACGGATAAAATGTTTGTTCGCTTTGTCTGAATAGACCGTAGAATCGGGAGAAACGATAGAATTGATCGCAAGATACCAATCGAGCGAAAAAACACGAGTTATTTGGTATAAAGACAAACGTGTGATCACTGAAAGTCGAAACTATAGGATATATACCGACGATTCGACTTCAAGACTAACCATAAACAACGCGTCCGAAGAGCTAAGCGGCGAATATTCGGTCGAAATCATCAACTCTTTCGGCAAAGAAGAGTCGAACGCATTCTTAAAAGTAACCAAAACTCAAGAGGAAGAGGAGGTCCTCGAAGAAGAAGAGGAGAAAAAGAAAAAAGTGGTCAAAAAGAAAGTCGAAGAAGAAGTCGAAGAGAAAAAGAAAGAGGAAAAGAAAAAAGAGGACGAAATCAAGAAGAAAGAGGAGACGAAGAAAGTAGAAGAAGAGGCGAAGAAAACAGAAGAGACAGAAATCGGTAAAAAGAAATTATCGATTAAAAAGAAAACCGAAGAAAATAAGACCGAAACCAAAAAAGACGAAGAAATCAAAGACGAAACAAAACTCGAAGAGAAAAAGAAACTCTCGGTTAAGAAGAAGACCGAAAAGAACGACGAATTGAAGGATAAAAACAAAGTCGAGGAAAGAAAAGAGAGTTTAAAAGTCGAGGAAAATAACGTTGCGTTCAAATTAGACGATCCGCCAAAGAAAAGGTCTATTAAGAAAAGGGAGAGTTTAGTCGATAAGACTAATGAAGTAAAGGATACCGAAGATAAGACTGAAAAGGTATCCGAAAAACCAAAGACTATAAGTCCGCCAAAAATTGTAATCGAAACCAAAGAAGAAGACAAAACAGAACCAAAACCAGAAGAAAAACCGACAAAAAAACTTTCGATTAAGAAAAAGGAAGAAAAGACATCTATTGACACAAAAGTAGAGCCAAAACCTGAACAAAAACCAGAAACAAAAGTTGAACCAAAACCAGAAGAGAAGAGAAAACTATCGATAAAGAAAAAAGAGGA